TCAATATGCATTTTGTTTAAAATAATTATAGTGAACTGACTCTCCTAACGTTTAGGTCGCTTCACATAAAAATTTATGTATATATAAAATATAATATAAGTACAAAAGTATATACATTGTAAGACCAATATACTAGAAGAATTATCCATCTGAGTTTCCCCACCAATTTTTTTTTCTCTTTTCACTCTTTATTACAAGTTACAACATTCCGTACATATATTTTTCATAAATGGGGTTTTGATGTGCCCAACACATGGTTCCCACTTCCCACTCCTTCAAGAAAAGCAAAAATTGGATAAGTAATCAAATTAAAGTCCACAATTTTTTATTTTTATTTATTTATTTATTCAGTTCTACTTAGTTGTATTTCGTTGGCGCTCATAGAAGTTTGTAGTAATAAATTTTGCTCTTTACAGGGAAAATTTGCTTTCATGGAAAATATTCCCTTTTGTGGCGGCGTGTGAATTTTATGACTTTGATATATCTTCTCAAGTTTAGCTCTTTTCTTGCATAGNAAATTTAGTTAGAATTTGTTGATTTCAACTGTTTTTTTTTTTTCGAACAATTTAATATTAATGTAGAATTTTATATTGAAATGTTCAGTTTTTGTTGGACTTTTTTCAGCCATACTTTAATCATTGAAAAAACTGTCGTTGAAATTGTCAAAATTTAATATTAAAATAATTAATATGTATTATGTAGATAAGTTTATACGTTCACAATAATATACCTAGCATTAATCAAGATATTTCTTACTTTTTTCAAATGTTATGCATTAAATAAAAAAATATATATAACTAATAGGAAATAATATTCCAACAATATATTTATAAACTTAAAATATTTAAGTATGCATGCAAACATGTTTTACCACGTGATCCATGCCAAGTCAAAATTGAGAGATACAAGATATAGTAAATTGTGCTACGTACGTACGAGCTCCTGGTATAAAAATTAAAAGTACTAAATTTTTATTTTACTTTTTTATTATCTTGCAATGTAATTGACCGGTTCTAGTCGAAGCATTTAGTTAACTAAAGCAATAAAAACATAACTACGGTTCCTATGACTTTTTTTTTCAAAAATAAATATATGCAGCAATAAATAAATAAATCAAGAAATATTTTGTTCTTAAATATATAAGAATTAATAACTACTGATACCGATTATTAATAAATGGATTAGGAAAGTCAACCACTCTAATTTTTTTCACATATATTCCCCACTTTTTGTTATGTAGATATATAGATTCTTTATCTCCGAACACAAATTTAAATGGATCAAAGATTTATAAAGAACCAAATTTGGCCTTTAGCTATCTAATAATTAATTAGTTACCAATTAACTTGGACCCTTATTTAATAATTATCTGTCTGAAAAAATATTATGTGGTATTTTCTTAATGAAAATTCGAATATATTGTGTATTTATAATTTTATGCGTGTGGAATTTTGCGGAAATTTAATTTGATGATATACTTTTCATATTGTTAATGATTTTTTATTATAATTCACTCCTACTCACAAAAAATAAAAATACACAAACAATCAAAATAAATGTTTCCAGCAATGTTGCTGGATTCTGTAGTGAGAATTAATATGGTTGACTAGTGCCATTACAAGTATAAAAATTCGATTGACTCTTCTATCAAATGTTGTTTTAATTAACAATACAGGTGACCTAAATACATCAATGATATGATTTGGAATTAAGAAAATAATTCATTATTTTATATAAAATAGTTGAAGATAATAACGTTTCAATTGAAAGGCACATCTTGCGGGAGTTGGGGAATGATATATATATATATATTTGTGTTAGGTGCAATATGCAATTTCCACAAAATAGTCAAAGTACACGAAACATTTATTCCAGGACTATTTGCTTTTCAGACCTCAGATTTTGGACTTATTAATTTGACATATTTTATCTCCCCTCGTGTTTGGAATTTTACTGAGAAG